ACAGAAATACTCTTAACAAAATAACATAAAGAGAAACTTCAAATAGTACTTTTATTTCTCAGTGAAGCTCAAAGGTGGCCGACACGAAGTGAATACCATTTTTCCTTCATGTACACACACCTGCTCCGCTGAATAACAATAGAGTTCTGGGTAGCAGATTCTGGTTTGCAGGCAAAAGGCAGCGAATCAGATCTAGCGAGTAACTACAGGAAAGGCGACTGACAAACGAGTGCGCTCACCTCACGGGAAAGTAAAGAACACGCAAGGCCACAGTCAGTCAGCCAGAGAGGGCCGGCACAGACGCGCTGAATTATTCAAATGTCTGTGCCGAGTGTGCGTCGTGTGCATGTGCATGCGTTGAGTTATAAAATAATAAAACACCCCCCATCTCCTCTCGTTCCATCAAAGAAGGCCAAACACAGGCACATGCTGGCGCACACGGAGACTTCGGGGAGGTAACCTGTCTTTGACAGCTGAATCCGAGCGCGTGTGTGTGTGTGTGTGTGTGTGTGTGTGTGTGTGTGTGTGTGTGTGTGTGTGTGTGTGGCAGAACAATGCACAAATCTCACAGACCAAACGACACACGGCACCTTCGTAATGTCCCCTGTTGTCCCTTTTCTCGCTTTTTCTTTCTTCATTTGTCACAAACTCTTTTCTCCTGCTCTGCGCTGACCCGGCCCTCCCTTCTGCTTTTCCCTCACCTCCCTCTACTCTGTCGCTTTATTTTCCTCCTCTCTCCTGACATCTTTCCAGGCTGTGTTGCTGAGACCTCTGAACTATCCAGAGGGATTTGTGGTCAACACCCCTGTCTGCTATTCTCATTATTCCCCCTCTCCTGCTTCATCCATCTATCCCTGTTTCTTTTGCTCCATGATTCCCCTATGAACACTTCTTTCCCCCCGCCTGCCTCTTTCCTTCACTCACTTGTTCCCCTATGAACCTGCATTGCTCCCACCTCTCTTCCTCCTCCTGCTCGGTCTCTCCTCTCTCTATCAGCCTAACCTTTTGCTTTTTTCCATTACTTTTTTCCTGATTTTTTTTCAACTTTTCTACACTTTCCTCCCATCACGATCCCTCTCTCTCCTGCTCATTCCACCCACGTCTCCATCCTCCATCCTTCTCTCTCCATCCATCCTCCCTCCCACAGATTAAAGTGGGAATAAGAGGTTTTGGTCTTGGCCGAGGTCCAGTTCTGTAATGGCCACAGACAGGTCTGCCTGCAGCAATTCTGTGGGGCTACGTAATGACACTTGTCCCACGTCAAGTTCAAATCTAGCTATATAGAGAAGTTCTCAAGCTCCTAAAGATAAAAACTGCAACTGAGACGACATAATTTCTCACGCCGAGGCCTCGGGCTGCAGAAAACTGCTGCCTTACTTGTCGTGCGCACAACACGCCACACAGAAAGTTACAGGTACAAATCTCTTTGTGGCTAATGCAAATTCAACGACCTCTCGATTAAACCTTTGCTTCACAATAAGAATAACAAATACATTTTCCCATCTGTCTGTCATTCCCCTTTTCCTCTGGTAGTGTCTGCAAGTACAAATAGGAACAAATTAAGTCTGGATATTACTCCATGCTTGCGCCTGAAAAGTTTCTCCAAGTTAACATGTATTCCATATGCCCCATCTGGTTCACGACAGGCCTTTAATGACATTATCAAATACATTACAGATCACACAAATCATCACGATGCTGTGTGACAGCAGCACCGCCCTTGCAGGCAGGCTCCCAGATGTTTAAAGCCACAGTGTGTGCGCATACCTGTGTGTGTATGTGTGCACAAGAAGTGTCTGATTAGTTAATATGCAAAAAGATAGAGGATGTAAATGCATCTAGTCACATGTCTGCGTGTGCTGTTTGGTGTGTTTTTGCTCCACTATATATGTTTAATTATTTCATGCATGGTGGTTTTGCAAGAACAAACTATCCATGTGGCTTCCATTATTTTCTTGTCCTGCTTTAATGCCTCTTGCCCATAAAACACTAACTCAATAATTCTTCCAAATTAACGCACACAAACCGAAGCATCGCTGCTGCCAAGCACAAAAGGCATTTGTTTAAGCGGCGCAAACGTGCCGGCGTATTTCCTGATGACTTTCTCAGAGACAGGAGGAGGAGGGAGAGCGAATGATGGAGAGCTGTGAGAGCGGAGAGAGTGTAAGGAGAGGCCGAAGGAAGATGTGAAGTGAGTGAACGGGGAGACGTGGAGGGAGCAATTGATGGATGAAGAGCTTCTGAGAGAACTAGTGAAGAGGCAAGTGAATGAAAATGTCAAGAAGGGGAGATGGATGGATAGGTGTACAGTCGGGGCACTTCTGTTTATTTCCTGGATGGCTAAAACAGCTACGACTTCTCAAAATGAATAACTTAGCCGTGTTGATTTAAGGCTTCCGCGAGACAAAAGGAAAACTGTGATCTATCGCATAAACTGATCCAGGATCTGCTTTCAATTATGAAATACAATTTCCTTGAATTATCCTGTTAATGCAGACGCAGCGTTTTACAAACTGCAGAATAAAACACACTGCCAAAAAGGTCTTGGCCACTGCTGTGGAGTGATTTATATCTTTCTAGCGTAAAACACAGACACACAAACTCACGACAACAACCCCTGATAGACGATAGAGAAAGTCAGCAGGGCAAGGCCAGTGCTGAGTGGCCGTCTGAGGCGTGTCAACCGAGAAAGGACAAGATGCTGACATCATCGTTTCATCATCAGATAAATGACCATCATCCACTCGGCCGTTTTGTTCTAACATAATGCTGCCACAACACATTCACAATATTTGTACATATCTGCATAATATCCTTATTATGGCACTGAGACAGTGGTGTGTAGATGTGGATTAAAAGGGGTGCTGGACAACACTGAGCCGAAGCCTCAGATTACAGCACAGACTGGCACACCAGGGAGCCAAACAGCTAGAAAGACCCTGCCTGTGTGTGTGTGTGTGTGTGTGTGTGTGTGTGTGTGTGTGTGTG